CACCGGTCTCGGTCGGTGCTTACGCCGAGCTCACCTTCGATGACGAGGAGGCGCAGGAACGGCAGGAGGAGGAGTACCGGCAGAAGGTCGGCTCGCTGCAGTTCGCGGCGACGACGACGAGGCCAGACATCGCCTTCGCCTGCAGCAAGCTGGGGAGTGGCCTCACGGTGAGGAGCGACCAGCACTGGCGCGAGGTTGATCGCTGCCTCGCTTACCTTGCCAACACTCGTGACACCGCCTTGGAGTTCGGCGGTGGACCTGAGTCGCTGGAGCTGGTCGGCTACGTGGACGCCAACGACGCCAGTGACAAGCAGAACAGGACGAGCACGAGCGGCTATGTGTTCGTCTACGGAGGGGCTGCAGTCTCCTGGTCGAGCCAGCGCATCAAGTGCGCAACGCTGTCGTCGACCGAGTCGAAGTACGTGGCGGCCACTAAAGCTGGCAAGGAGGGACGCCGCCTTCGCTTCCTCCTCGCCGAGTTCCGGCAACTGGACGCCGGGAAGCCGACTGTCCTGCGCGTGGACAACAAGTCGGCCATCACGGTCGCCGAGGGCATGGGGTTGACGGGCAACCTCAAGCACATGGAATGGCGACAGGCCTGGCTGCAGCACATGGTGAGGCGCGGGAAGTTCTTGCTGCAGTACATCCCGACCGCTGAGCAGCCGGCCGACTTCCTGACGAAGGCGCTGCACTATCCGGCCTTCAACCGGTGCTCCGTCGCAATCGGCCAAGTGCGCTTGGCCGACGTGGGCGACGGCGACAACGACGTGCAGCAGTAGGTGCCATGCCCTTTTGCATGGCTGGTGCGGTGGACGACGTGCTATGTGTTGGGTGCACGTCGACGAGCTAGTCTCCGAGCTGTACTGCCGTGTGGGCTGGGTGCCCAAGCGTGAACGCGGCAGGGGAGTGTCAACGGGAATTGGGTATTGGCCCCGTCCTCGCTTGGGCAGAGCCGACTTCGTGGTCGGGTGTGAGGGGAGCAGCCGACCTACAGCAGTGGGTGAGCTGGTCGACGAGGAGGTCGATCTGTTCGGGGGACCACTGCACGGGCGCTGACTTTAGGGTGGCGCCGACTTCAGGGAGGTCGACTTGGGAGTCGACCTGCGGAGGACGTCAACTTGGTGACGTCAACTTGGGGAAGCCGACTTTGATGGTCGGCTAACAGACTACTGGTCGACTGGATCTGTTGGTCGACGAAGGAGGGGCCGACGTCGACCTCGACTCAGGACGTCGAACAGTTGGGCGTCGAGTAGCGGGGCGCCAACTTCGGGTGGCTGACGTGGGTGGTCGGCCGACGACTATGCTGGTCGACGAGGAGCAGGTCGACCAGGAGTACTGGTCGACGTGGAGTTGGTCGACCAGAGGGGACGCCGACCTGGAGGAGGTCGACGTGGAGGTGGTCGTCGACCTGGGAGGTTGACGGGCACGTACAGGAGCAGCTGGTCGATATAGTTCCCCGGTCGACTAGGATACCTGGGTGACAAGGTTCTGCGAAGGAGTGCGACGGTCACCCAGGCGAAGTTGGCGAAACCGACCTCCATGGTGGTATCCCGAGGTCGTCGTGGCGGATTAGAGGCAGTCGCTAGCCCGAGGTTGACGTGGTGTGTGCGCTGTGCAGGTGACGAGACTTTGCATGCCAATCATCTGCGTGCACCTGCAAAGCAGGTTCACTGCTGTCCTGCGTTAGCAATGCTGGCACACCGTCAACCTGCAGCGTTGGCAAGCTGTCGACTTTGCACTGCTGTAGCGTGGTCGACCAAGTTGTGCTGGAACGCGGTCGACCATGCTGTGCTGGCAGTCGACCAACCTGAATGCTAGCTCTGATGTAGTCTTGCTATGCCAACTTCATTGTACCAATTGTTCTGAACTTTTCCTAGTGAAACTCTTGCCAATTTTCCCCGTGAACTAGCAAGTAGTGTGCATACAAGGAAAACGACTAAGGAACAGAGAACGCAGAGATCACACGAGCACACGTGCCTAGCCCGTAGCCTAGCTCCCGTTGCTGCAGTTATCTTTGCAACAAACAACATCCAACCTTCACCTAAATTGTACCCCTATAGTGCCTGCCCTGCTACACTATAGTCAACCAAACAAAACAGTACAATTTCGAGTTGGATAGAACTGAATCTGCACAATCAATTCAACCAAACCGCAAAGCTTCCATCTTGGGTTCCTTTTCGAGCTCGTCCTTTCTGCTTGTACTGTTCATAGCGCGTACAATGTTGTGCCGAAGCGCATAATGCGCGAGTACCTGCAAATGCTTCAAGCGAAAATTGAGAAAGCAAACAAACACACGAACATTCCATTCCCACCCAAATGCATTCGCACACGTATACTCATAGAAACAGATGGCAGGATGTCGTGCAATGTGAATTTGCCGCCAACACACTCCCCCTCAGCCTGCCGGCTGCATCCTCATCATTCCATGCTAGTTCATGCTCATTCCAGTCATCCGCACACAACGCCAATGAGGCTCATCCGCAAGCCTCTTGGTGAGGAAGTCTGCTGGCTGCTGGTGAGTCTTGATGTAGATCGGATTCACCGTCCCCCTCTTCACCTCGTTACGCAACCAGTGCCACTTGATACGCGTGTGCTTGTTCAGCCCATGAAGCACATCGTTCCTGGCCATCCCAAGAGCTCCCTTGCTATCACAAAACAGCGGCGTAGCAACCTTCTGCTCCTGGCCAATCTCCTCTAACAGCCTCCTCAGCCAAATCAGCTCCTTCACCCCATGGAACATTGCCATGTACTCTGACTCCACAGAAGAGTGTGATGTCTCCGTCTTCTTCTTTGACCTCCAACTAACAGGTCCTCCTCCAACTACGCAGATGTATCCTCCCACAGATGAGGAATCCTCCTTCTCAGAGGCCCACGTAGAATCGGTAAAGCAAGTGAGAAAGAGCTTGCCTTCTCCAAGCCTCTCCCCCTTCTCTTTCAGCACCTCAACCCCTTTCTGCTTCACCTGTGCAGATGCGGAGTATTGAACTCCAATGCTTGGGTGAGAGTTCAGATACTTCACCACACGCTTAGCTGCATCCACCTGCTCCTGTGAAGGATTCTGCACCACCCTAGCGAGCTGCCCAACCGAGAAAGAGATGCCGGGCCTTGTGTGAACTGCTGCATACAAGAGGCTGCCCACAAAGGACTGAAATTGCTGCTGCTCCTCGGCTTCAACCCCTTCATCCTCTGCAGCTTTCACAAGCTTGAATTCTGCTGGCAGGGGAGTTGCAACTTTGCGCTCATTCTCAATCCCGTACTTCTCCCCCAGCTCCTTGATGAACTTCTCCTGGAGCAGCTTCGACCACCTGTGATCTGGATTCCTGAGGAAGTACTTTACTTCCCCAAGGTTCTTGCACCTGAAGTCCTCCATCAGCTGCTGCTGCACCTTCTGGATCTCTTTCATGCTGCTGCAAAAGAGAAGAATGTTGTCCTCATAGACCAGAAACAGCACCAGCTTCTCCCCCTCCCCCTTGAGAAAGAGGCTCTCATCACAGCTGCTGGTCCTGAATCCCATCTCCTCTAAAACAGCTGCCAACTTCTGGTACCAGCAGCGTGGCGCCTGCTTCAAGCCGTAGATGGGTTTTTTCAGCTTGCACACCCTGCCCGTACCATCCTCATACCCAGGTGGCTGCGTCATATACACATCCTCCTCTAAAATCCCATTGAGGAATGCCGTTGATATATCCATCTGAATGATAAATTTCCCACTAATGGTTGCATCTGCCAACAAGACACGGAGGGTAGGGGGTTTGGCAGTGGGAGCAAAGATCTCATTGAAGTCCCGCTTCTCCTTCTGCATAAACCCCTTAGCCACCAGCCTACTCTTGTAGATGGTGACCTGTCCCTTGTCATTGGTCTTGATCGTTAGCACCCACTTGCATTGTACGACTTTCTTCCCCTCAGGCAGCACCACCAGCTCCCATGTCCCATTCTCTAGCAGGCTCTGGTACTCAGCATCCCTGGAAACCAGCCACTTCTCCCTATCTGGTCCAGCTAATGCCTCCTCCATGCTTGCTGGTTCCTCATGTGCAGGGGCAAGAAAACAGTAGGCAGGTTCATCCTCCTCATCCAGATCATAGCCATATGGTAGAATCAGCAATTCCTCCTCAGTCCCAAGCTGCTGCTCCGCTACATCAGCTCCTGCAGTCAGCTTCTTAGTAGCCATACGGGTACGTCCTGGCCTGGAGACGGGTGTCTGCCATCCCCTCATAACGACACCCTTCGGCTTGTTAGTTTTCCCCTGCTACTGCTCTCTCCCCTCAGATCCAGAAGCTCCACTAGTGCCAGTCTCCACATCATTTTTTCCACCAGCAGGTGCCTCCTGTACCTTCTTTCCATCACCACCCTCTGCAGCTGCCTCCTCTCCCTCCTCCCACACACTAGAAGTCAGGTCCAGCTGCATGGTGATCTGCTCCATTTGCTGGGACACCCTGGCCTCCGGCTGTTTCTCCCAGCTCCCATACATCATGCCCTCAACAAACTTCACATCCCTGCTGTCAAACAACACACCTTTGGAAGGTTCCCACAGCAGCCATCCCTTGCTCTCAGCAGCCAGCCCCAAATGCACACACCAGATTGCACTCGCCCCCAACTTACTGCGATAGGTCTTGGGGACGTGGGCGACTGCCATGCAACCGAACACCCTCAGCATGTCCACTGGCGGCTTCCTCCCAAGCCACCTCTCCAACGGCACCCACGAGTCATCCCCAACCTTTATGAGTACCCTGTTCCTAGCGACGGTAGCGTGCTGAAGAGCATGGGTCCACATCATGTTGCCCAGCCCAGATTCTATGAGCAGCGCCCTAGCTGTCTCCAGAATTGTCCGGTTCGCCCGTTCTGCTACACCGTTGGACTGTGGGGTGTAAGCCGTGGTCAGCTCCCTCTGGATGCCCTGCTTCTTGAGCCAGGCCATCATCTCAGCTCCAAGGAACTCACCACCCCGATCTGTCCTAATCCGCTTCATCACACACTCCGCTTGCTTCTCCACGAATGGCAGCCAATCATCCCGTATCGTAGAGGCGGCGTGGTCCTTTTGCTTCAGCGGATATGCCCACATAAGCCTGCTCCAATGATCCACTATGGTCAGAAAGTACCGCTCCCCCTTGTGTCCCTGAACCGGCAGCGGCCCCACCAAGTCCATGTGGACCAGCTCCAACGGCTTCTTGGTCCTGCCAGCCACACTATGGAAGGGGAAACGGGTAAACTTTGAGAGCAAACAGATTTCACAATTCTCATCAGGTGGCTGTCCGTTCAGCTTCAGACCCTTAACGGCTCCATCTTTCTCCAACTGCTTCAACAAGGGCATTGCCACATGCCCCAAGCGACGGTGTGCCGTTGCCCAATCCGTCTCCCCAGATCTGGCCGACACTTTCACACCAACCCCTCCAACGGCGTTGCACTCCCCCTGGGATGCAGACCCCTCTCCAGCCTGCCTCCCACCATGCCACGCCACCGCCGGCAGCTGCCACATGGATCTGTACACGTCCGTACTCTCGTGCAGATCCCAAAGCACCCGATTGCCCAGCTGCCCCTTGTAAGTGCGTGCCCCATCCGTGCTAGTGCTCACCCCAGACTTGCCAAGCTTACGGAGGGAGATGAGGTTGGCCTTGAGTTCTGGAACAAGGAGAACGTCGTGCAGCACCACCGGCTTGCCATCCGCTCCCTTAAATGCAGCTCGTCCCGCACCAGCCACCTTCAGCGCGTGTCCAGAGGCGGAGCACACCTTGTTGATCGGTGCAGCTCGTACATGGTCCAGCAGGTCTTTTCGCGGCGTCATCGTCCAAGCAGCGCCTGTGTCCAACACCCAATAATCCAGGGGGTGCAGCTCTGCTCCAACCTTGGCAGAGGCGTCTCCTTGCTCCCCCTGCTAACCCTGCTCTCCAATATGGAAGAACTGGCCCGCGGTGCGCTCCTTCTTCTTTTCCGCACCGCCGTTGCTCTTCGGGTTGTTGTTGGACGAATCGGCAACCATGCTCGCGCCTTTTTTCTGGTTCCTCCGCGCGCCGCCATGCAGGTGACGACTCTGGGGGGTCCATCTATCGGGTTTTCTTATAGCACAAAAACCAGGGATGCCCCTCCTTCTCACAATACCAGCAACTCCCTTTTTTTTTGCCATCCGCACCCGACTTGCCCCCACGTCCAGATTTCGCACCGCGACCCCAACCGGTACCTCCTTGTTGGTTGTTGGAGTCGTCGTCCTTCTTTGCACCGCGTCCAGCACCACCGAAGCCACGTCCTCTACCACGTCGGCTCCCTTGCATCCCGTAGCCGCTGCTGCCGTCGTCTCCACCCCTCAGTTGACGGCGACGGAAGTCCTCCTCTAGAATCTTCGTCCGCACCCACTCGAGTGTCCACGAGCTCTGGTTCTGCGGCAGGCTCAATCCGCTCGTGAATTGAAGCCACGATTCCAGGAGCAGCGAGAGCATCTTCAGGCACTTGGTCTGCTCCGTGTAGGTGATTCCTGCGGTCGCCAACTTCGCGTAGAGGTCGCGCATCTTGTCCAGGACACGTTGCACTGGCACTCAACCTCTGGCAGCAGGTGCATGACGTGGTGACGCTGGTTCAGCCCCAAACTCTGCGACATCAAATAGTAGCCAGCCGAGGAGCGCTCATCCCAATCTTCCTGCAGCGCGGGGTCACTCGGTCTAGGCTCCTCCCCAATCATTAGTTTCAGCAATCCAATCTGACGGAAATATAGTTGCATTTTCCAGGCCCAATCATCATAGCCCTCACCATTGAACTTCTCGACGGTGAAATTCTTCAGCACCTCCTTGACCAGCGAGCCCTGGTTTGTTCGCGCTCCCCTTGGCGCTGAAACACCAGAATCATGGCTGCCGCTACGATCTTGGGCTGAAGATTCACCAGCTCCCGTCGAGGTGTTGCCCGCCATAGCTACCTATATCGAGGATCACTATGACGCAGCTCTGATACCAGCTTGTTGGTAAAAGGGCCTAATAAACTCAAGCTATTAAGACTTTATCAAACTTAGAACCTCTCCTCGGGGTCACCTCCAAGGGTCCTTGGATGCCTGGTACAAGACCAGCCCCTATCCTCGGGTCCGAGTTTGTAGAGAGAGGGATCAAGAATGACTTAGTCAAAATAACAAGAGTAGCTTAAACGTCGCGCAGCGTATCGTGCAGACCGTCGACCGGATTAAGCTGAGAATTTCCTATATCGAAGCTCACTCCAAAAGCTTTAAAATAAGCCAACTTGCCTCGCGAAAAGTTCTGCCATTACCAAGTTATGGCTCGGACAGCATTTGCCTAGCGTTGGAGTGCTAGCATACTAGCGTTGACTCGGGTAGCATTCCGCCCGCACCGCGTAGAAACGAAACTCCAGGAAGGGAGGAATTCGCTTGAATCAAATTGACTATATTCAGGTACAAACAGAGAAGGAATAAATAGTTCTAGCTAGCAAGGACCTTGGAAATAAACCTGGGAACAACCAAGGATGATCCCAAATAATTCCAAGCAACAGAACCAACCTGTCTGGACAAAACAGCAGGTGACAGGTTGGTAAACAACCTCTGGTTCTGTTTTTCCAACCTGGGAAAACAACAACCAGGTTCAGGTCCTAAAAACAGAACCTGTTTCGTCTTTGCCCAACCAGCCAAAAGCTGGTTCCGCTGGTTTCCCATGGCCCTGTAGCATGCAGATACAGACAAACTACATCCAACCTTCACCTAAATTGTACCCCTATAGTGCCTGCCCTGCTACACTATAGTCAACCAAACAAAACAGTACAATTTCGAGTTGGATAGAAGTGAATCTGCACAATCAATTCAATTGAATCGCAAAGCTTCCATCTTGGGTTCCTTTCCGAGCTCGTCCTTTCTGCTTATAATGTTCATAGCGCGTACAATGTTGTGCCGAAGCGCATAATGCGCGAGTACCTGCAAATGCTTCAAGCGAAAATTGCGAAAGCAAACAAACACACGAACATTCCATTCACACCCAAATGCATTCGCACACGCATACTCATACAAACAGACGGCAGGATGTCGTGCAATGTGAATTTGCACCCAACAGTTTGAAGCTGAACGGACAGCCACCCAATGACAACTTTGAAGTCTGTTTGATCTCAAAATTCACTCGTTTCCCTTTTCATAGCGTGGCTGGCAGGAGCGAGAAGCCTTTGGAACTGGTCCACATGGATTTGGTCGGGCCGCTTCCGGCTTCGGGGCATAAGGGGGAGCGGTATTTCCTTACGATAGTGGATGACTGGAGCAGGCTAATGTCGGCGTATCCGCTGAAGCATAAGGACCACACAGCCTCCACGATCGGCTTCCCTTCATGGAGAAGCAGCCGGAGTGTGTAGTGAAGCGGATTAGGACAGATCAGGGTGGTGAGTCTCTTGGAGCTGAGATAACGGCCTGGCTCAAGAAGCAGGGCATCATGAGAAAGCTGACCACGGCTTACACCCCCACAGTCCAACGGTGTAGCAGAGCGGGCGAACTAGACCATTCTGGAGACAGATAGGGCGCTGCTGATAGAATCAGGGGCGGGCAATTTCATGTGGCCCCATGATGTCTGGCACGCTACCACGGCTAGGAACAAGGTGCTCACTAAGGCTGATGATGACTCGTGGGTGCCGTTGGAGAGGTGGCTTGGGAGGAAGCCGCCGGTGAACATGCTGAGGGTGTTCGGTTGCATGGCAGTCGCCCACGTCCCAAAGAAGTATTGAAGTAAGTTGGGGGCAAGAGGCAATCTAGTGTGTGCATCTGGGGCTGGCTGCTGAGAGCAAGGGATGGCTGCTGTGGGAACCACGCAACTATGTGTTGTTTGACAGTAGGGATGTGAAGTTTATTGAGGGCCTGATATATGGGGGCTGGAAGAAACAGCCAGAGGCCAAGGTAGGACGCACACGTCCTGAAGGGGTGGGAGACACCCGTCTCTAGGGCTGGACGTACCCGTATGGCCACTATGAAGCTAACTGCAGGAGCTGAATTAGCAGAGCAGCAGCTGGGGAACAAAGAGGCATTGCTGATTATGCCTCAAGGCTTTGACCCGAATGAGGAGGACGGGCCTGCGTACTGTTAGGGCGTGTAACTTTTTTGCATTTTGTGATTTTGACGTACCGTCCGATTATATGGAATCGGACGGTACGTTTATACCGAAACGGACTGTCCGATTTGAATGTTTGCAACTTCGGACGGTACGAATGCAGATGTGTCACTTTTTCCACATGCTAGGGTTCCGCGATGGTATTCTCTTCGCCATCTCAAATGTACACCAGTAACGCGAGTCACAACCCATCGCTATTTTCGCTGGTGGATTTCAGCGCTTCGGACAAACATAGTGAGGCTAGTTGTGATTGGTCAATGTCCCTTTTTGCATCCGAGTCGCATTTTCCCATTTTTTGGCGAGGCGGTCCGCTGAAATCCAAATTCGCCCGCCAATCGCGTGCGTGGACAGGCGGACAGTCCGTTTGTGATTCGGACCGTCCGTTGTTAGAGTTTCGTGTCGTTGGAAAGAGGAAAAAGGGACAGGACGGTTCGAATTTGTAGCGACGTCGCACACATCATCGCGAAAAACTGCACGACATCAAACGATAATGGTTACCCTTCGCATCGACGTACGGTCCACGGTTCGTTCCGTCGAGTGCAAAATAGTTACACGCCCTTACCTTGCCCGTGCACAAGAGGAGCCAGCTAGTATGGAAGAGGCATTAGCTGGACCAGATAGGGACAAGTGGCTGGATTCTAGGGATGCTAAGTACAAGAGCCTGCAAGAGAACGGGACTTGGGAACTCGTGGTGCTGCCTGAGGGGAAGAAAGCAGTGCAATGCAAGTGGGTGCTGAGGACCAGGACCGATGACAAGGGCCAGGTCACCATCTACAAGAGTAGGCTGGTGGCTAAGGGGTTTATGCAGAAGGAGAAGCAGGACCTCAATGAGATCTTTGCTCCTACTGCCAAACCCCCTACCCTTCGTGTCTTGTTGGCAGATGCAGCCGTAAGTGGGAAATACATCATTCAGATGGATATACCAACGGCATTCCTCACTGGAATTTTAAAGGAGGAGGTCTACATGACGCATCCACTTGGGCATGAGGATGGTATGGGCAGGGTGTGCAAGCTGAAAATGTAATTCTACGGCTTGAAGCAAGCGCCACGCTGCTGGTACCAGAGGTTGGCAGATGCTCTAGAGGAGATGGGATTCAGGACCAGCAGCTGTTATGAGAGTCTCTTTCTCAGAGGGGGAAGGGGAGAAGCTGGTGATGTTTTTGGTCTATGTCGATGACACTCTTCTCTTCAGCAGCAGCATGAAGGAGATCCAGAAAGTGCAGCAGCAGCGGAAGATAAACTTCAAGTGCAAGACCCTTGGGGATGTAAAGTACTACCTCAGGATGCACGTGGAGAGGGATCTGGATCACAGGTGGTTGAAGCTGCACCAGGAAAAGTTCATCAAGGAGATGGGGAAGAAGTATGCGATTGAGAAAGAGCGCAAGGTTGCTACTCCACTGCCAGCTGGATTCAAGCTTGTGAAGGTAGCAGAGGATGAAGGGGTTGAAGCCGAGGAGCAACAGCAATTCCAGTCCTTCGTGGGCAGCCTCTTGTATGCAGCAGTTCACACAAGGCCCGGCATCCCTTTCTCGGTTGGGCAGCTGGCTAGGGTGGAGCAGAATCCAACTGAGGAGCAGGTGGCTGCAGCTGAACGTATGGTGAAGTACCTGAACTTACACCCAATCATTGGAGTTCACTACTCCGCATCTGCAGAGGTAAAGCAGAGTGGGGTTGAGGTGCTGAAGGAGAAGGGGGAGAGGCTTGGAGAAGGCAA